CCTGACCCCGCCGCGCCGTCCCCGCAGGAGAAGCTGGCCTACCACCAGCGGAGCAGCCACGCCCTCTCCTCGGGCCTCTACCTGGGCTACCTGAAGCTCTGCAGTGCTGTGGATCAGATCCGGGTGCTGGTGCCGGAGCAGCTCCCCAACATCCTGTGCCACGTCAAGATCCGCTCCAACCCCAACATCTCCAGGTGGGGTTTGGGGGGCAGCTCCCCGGGGGCAGCCAGGCTCCTCTGTCCCGTCCAGCCCCAGAGCACCCATCGCCTCCTGCGTCTGCCCTCGGGCTGCTGGCAGAAGCCAGGGCAGGACAGCCTGGAGCTGGAGCAAACGTGTTCCTCCTCTGCTGCCACAGCTCCCATGTGCCTGGGGGTGCTGCACCATCTGGGGAGGGACAGCCAAGCGAACAGCTCTTGTAGAAGCTGCATGTTCAGGTTCTCCCCGAGCTGCTCCCCCCTTCAGCTCTCTGTCTCTGTCCTTCTCCAGGGAGGAGTGGGAATGGCTGCAGAAGATGGCCAGCGTGGAGGAGCATCTTCCTGCAGAACCAGAGCCTGAGACTTCCCAGAACCACTTGTTTCAGGAGCTCCAAGTGGCCATCAAGGAGCTGATGACCCTGGTTAACATCCCATTGCAAGAGGTATGGGGAGGTGCCAAGGTCTGGGGAGGAAGGAGGGGAAGAGGCACCACGCTGGTCATTGCAGCAAGAAGGGTACCCCAACTCCTGCTCCTCCTTTGAGGGCCTGAAGCATCACTGAGATCTGTCCCATGCAAACAGAAGGGAAGTGGTGGACAACCAGCATCTGCAGCATCCACCTGCACAGGGACAGTGTCCACGGGAGCTGCTTATCTTCCCTCATGTGCCTCCAAAGCAAGGGTGCTGAGCCTGGGCTTGCTTTGGTCCTGGGCTCAGCCCGTGCAGCATGAGACCAGCCCATTTCTACCTCTCCAAAGCAGGATGGTCCCTGGCTAGTGGTGGGATGGAGCTGCAGCCCTTTGGGGCAGACTGCACGGGGAGAAATTCCTCATCCACTGGGAGGGAATTCTCTGGGAAGGTGCCCACCAGCCCCAGCCCCACGCACGTGCTTCTGCCAGGCAGCTGAGAGCACCTCTCTGAGCAGGGCTGAGGCCATCGCTGGTGGCACTTCTCTGAGACCTTGTTGTGGTGCCTTTGACCAGTAATTTAGAGACTTGTAGGAGAAACAAGAGGGCAAGGGAGGTCTACAGATTATGCCAGAAGCAGGGAGCCTCTGGTGGTTGTGCTGAAACAGCAGTGTCCTCTGGCTGCAGGCAGTCCCTGGGGACTCCTCTGGGGACGAGGACTTGGTGGAGGCCCCACCAGGTGATGCCTGCAGCTCTTAACCCCAGCGTCTTCTTGCAGGCCAAAGATTTCCGCCTGTACAGCCAAGAGGTGTTGGACTTTGGGGGCCAGGTCTCCTTCCTGCTGCTGCTGCCTCCATCAGACGACGTCTGCACTGCTCCAGGCCAGAACAACCCCTACACCCCTCGCTCTGGCTTCCTCACGCTGCCACTGCAGATCTTCGAGCTGGGTGAGGAGGGGGAATGCCAAACCCCAACCCTGCTGCCCTCTTTGGCCTCCGAGACCTCCCAAGAGCTGGGATAGGCAGTGGGGTGGGTCCCAGGAGAGGAGGGATGGAGGGGGTGCTGAGGGCTCTCCGGGTAGGCTGGAGTACAGTGTTGCCTCCTCCCTGTGTTGGGTGAGTGGGAAAGAGCCTGTGGGGCATCCACAGCAAGGGACCTGATATTTTTTCATTCCCCCCTGTCTTTATTCCTCTCCCCAGTCCACTTCTTCACATACGACCGGGAATTCATCACCCAGTACTGCCAGGTGTCTGCCCTCCTGGAGCTGGAGTCGCTTCTCTCTCAGCAGAGCCTCAGGGAGGCCTTCTCTGACACCGAGCTCTCCACCGCCAAGCAGAGGCACCAGCAGGTCCAGGACTACATCCAGGTGTGTGGAGCAGGGGTGTGCAGGCTCAATGGTGCCCACAGGATGTGGCCAAAATGATCATGCCCTGGATGGAGCCCAGGGGCTGGAGCATCTCTGCTCTGAGGACTGGCTGAGGGCACTGGGGTTGTTCAGCCTGGAGAAGAGAAGACTCTGGGGGGACCTTAGAACTGCCTCCAGTCCCTGAAGGGACCCTCCAGGAAGGCTGGAGAGGGACTTGGCACAAGAGTGTCCAGTGACAGGACAAGGGGAAATGGTTTAAACTGAAGGAGAGCAGGATTAGACTGGAAGCAGTTCATCAATCCGAGGGTGGCCAGACTCTGGACTAGAGTCAAGGCCAAGTTGGATGAGGTCCTGAGCAACCTGGTCTAGTTGAGAGGTGTCCCTGCCCATTGAGATGATCTCCAGGGTCCCTTCCAACCTCAGCCATCCTATGAGTCTGTGAGCTGCTGGAGCATCACTGGTCTCAGTGGCTGTGACCCCAGGGGACGTGGCAGACGGGCAGCAGTGGACAGGGCTTTGTCTGGCAACTTACTGCAATGATCACAATCAAAACCTGATTAGAGACCTGGAGGCTCTGCAGGTGCCCAGCCTGCTGGCAGAGGGCAGCAGTGGGCAGGGCTTTGTCTGGCAACTTACTGCAGTGATCACAATCAAAACCCTGATTAGAGACCTGGAGGCTTCCGCTCTGCAGGTGCCCAGCCTGCTGGCA